ATATATATATATATATACGTGCGTGTATACAGTGGGATGTCTGCTCGGGTTGTCAATGAAGACTGTTGTGCTTTGTGCCTCTTCGGCAATTTTGTCCTCAGTGTTTGTTTGAGATGGGTCTGTTCTGCGACCCAAAGCTAAAGCCTCTTGGACATTTCAGAGACTCACGGGCCGGGTCCACTGGCTTGGCTCCAGGTTCGAAGAGTTTCGGCCTCGGGTTGCGAGGAAGTTGCCCCCACCCCCCCTGTTCTGCCGGACCCAGACCCTCTTTACTTGTAGGGCAAAAGTAATCTTCGCAGGCGTTGGCAGCACAGTCCTATTGCTGTCAGCACGACGTTATACAGCATGATTTGTTTACGCCTGTGGAAAGTTCCTTTCTCTGTGTGTGTACATCCTGGACGAAGGATCAGAAAAAGCACGCCTGCTTCAGGGACCATATCCAATGAATCGCCAATGAAGCTACTCTATCTCACGGGAAGCGGAGCTTGGCCAGCCACGTGTACTTGCTCCGGAGTTGCAACCCGGCCAAGCCAAAAACATGGCGAGTCGAACATAAGCCGCCCAAGAGATGCACTTTTAAATGTTGTTTACATGTGGCCAAAGACATCGTCCAGCAGCTCAACGTGTGAAAGATTGGCTATGTCGAGGGTCGTTCCAGGTGTGTAGTTCGGCTGGGTATCTGTCATAGTGTCAGTCGTCAGGCTCCAGCCTTACATGCAAAGTTCAAAGTTCCGTGGGCAGAGTTCGCAGGATGATGAGCGCAACAGATCAACAAAACACTCTCCTACGCAAATGAGGAGTTAAACATGGGGGGATAGCGTCCACTTGTGCTCCTACAGTAAAACCTCACCTACAATCTCTCCTACGTATCATACTAGTGACCAGAGGATGCAAAATCTCCTACACACCAAACCTGTGATTCGCCTACATACCAAACTTGTGATCTCCTACGTATCAAAATCCGTAAGGGTTTAGAATCAGAGAAATCGATGCAGATGAATGCCTGCTTCCAGTATTTTCTCAGCAACCATAGCACCGCCACGGCAATCACAGGCTCCAGCTATGCATCCACTGAAATCCAGCCAACCGTTCAGCCGATGCAGCCAGCTACACACATGTCACAGACGGCTGTCATGCAGCCACAGAGATGCTGACCGCCAGCAATGCATACAACGACGCAAGAGAGCATTAGCAGCGGGAGGAACACATGAAACTTGGGCAAATACTTGTGTCAAAACGAGGTCCCCCAGCTTATCAATCAGAGTGTGAGTTTATGTCAGCACCAGTGCGTGCCCGCGTGCGTGCGTGCATGTTTGCTTTCGTGGGTGCGCGTATCAGTCTTCTTGTTGGGCATTAGTTGAGTATTCTTTGCATGTAGTCATGTTGCGTACAACGCAACTCTTAACTCCGGTTTTCTCAGGCACGCCCATTCATGGGCCGCAACATGACAGCTTGTCTCGCTTGCCAGTAGCATACGAGGCAAAGCCTGGACCATCAACGGCGCGAAGTCCAGCCAACAAAGACCCGTATGGAGGCAAGACAAGAAAGAGTGCAGATCCACAGGCAAAGCTTGTTGCATTGATCATCCCATTTCAAGCCTTTGGGCAAGTAATCTTCCGAGTTGTGCTACACAGCTTGCAGGTTGCACAGTTCCTGCATGTTTGACAGTGACAAAGGCAACGCATCTGTCGACCTGACAGAGGAAGAAGCACCTTTCGCGCAGTGACCCGTGCTGCAAGACGGGTGCATACCAATTTGGGGACATTTTTGTGTGCCTGACGGTGCCTGTTGCTGAACTTCAAAACCGCCTCTGAATAATATTCACTGTGGTTGCCACCGTCGCACCGAAACAAGTTTGAAGTCCGCAGTATTCCGAAGCACATGACAATGAATCAACATGCCAGAAGCACGAGTATGAGTCACTCGCAACATTAGATTTGGGCGCGGCATCCTTTGCAGGCCTTCCGTAAAGATTCATGGCTTCAGCAGGGATTCGGCCCACACCAGAAGCTGAGAGAGAACGCTGACGAGCCCAGCCCAGTAGTTTCATGAGTCCTGGCGAGGAGGCGCAAACAGTCTATGCAGTCCAGTTATATACCAACACTTGCCATTCAACTCAACTGGAATGACTTAGCCAGCAAGGCATCTGGAAGCACCACACTCGCAGCTGCTGCACGACACCCTGTTTAAGTTCACGATAAACTCCGCTTAAACTATCGGGTGCGGATGCTCGTCAATATCTCAGCAAGGAACAAGCCCGGCGTGCTTCCGATTTGCGAAGCTCTGCAACAAAGTTGCACGAGGTACACGACTGACATGCAGTCCGGAGACGAGGAGGCCCACCGTGCTGCCTTGAGTAGCCGTGGCTCGATGTCGCCCGTGCCTGCTGAGTCCAGCTTGCAACATGCTGCTTGCGAGCTTGTGCATCCTCGCTAGCTTCTGCGGAAAATGCATGTGACTATTGCAGGATGCACTCGATGACAGCCAACTCAGCACTATTCTTGGAGAGCTCAGCTGTCCTTCCGCCAGCACCTTACACTGGGTATTTCAAAGTCAAAATGCAGCTTCATGGACCATCCAGTCGGAGAGACAACAACTCTTGCAGTCAGCTAGCTGTCATACAGTCCAAGAGCGGTCGGTCTCCTTGTTCCCGCTAAGGCTGGATGTTCAGACGGCGACCCGTACCAAGCTCTTCAATCGAAGTGAGACATGCGCGAAGGAATTGCAGAGGTTTCCCTTGAGGGAAGTCTGCACCACAGGTTTCTGTTAATGTGAATCCTTCGTGGAGTCACGGAGTCGCCTGACGTCGAGAAAAGGCACTCCTGCATGGTCGGAAAGAGGAATCCTCCCCCGAATCTAGTCTAGTCCCTGGTCATGTCATGGCCTGACTCGTTCTGGCCACTTCGGATGCTGGAGATTCAACACATCGCTTACGCCAAATTCGCTCGAAATGCACACAGGAAGGATGCGGAACCCCCTGCTGCAAATCACTTAATCCGTTCTTTGCAGGTCTGTGGCGTGCTGCCCGACCGAACCCAAGTGCAACAGAGCGAGGTGCCTTCATTTTCAAACGAAGCAAGACTTTGCACCGATGGGAGTTTGTATGAGCAGGAAATAGACCCGCTGGACGATGAGCTCAGTGGAAATGGCATCGAGTGCGAGACCCAAAAAAGTATGGCTGCTAACGACCTGCATTAATCTACAACGCGGCAGGCACCGAATCGATGATGCTTGGGCTGTGATGTCAGAGGTGCCCAAGCTGTAATCTGCTTACAGCTTGTGTCTCAGGGTGTTCGATAAAAGATGTAGATTGCGCGCAAGGGTTGCAGCGACGCCATGGACCTGATGCAGAAGAAGGATGCAACCCAAGCACCTGCACCCATGCCATGGGCACCAGTTCTCGCCTGTGCGACTACTAAGCTGTCAGCATTCTAGACTGTTCTAGACTCTAGACTAGACTTTTCACTGTACAGGCGCAAGCAATGCTTCGGGCCAGGCTGGCAGAAGAGGTCGGGATGTTTGCAATGCCGGCTGGAGGATGATCAAGGGATGGCAATCGCCCAGTTTCGGAAGGTCGGTGACTTCGACGCCCGAGTCCATCGCGAATGCGTTGGACTTGTGGCAGCTCACAAGCACTGTGTGCTGAATGCTGCGAAGGAGCCATGCACCACACTGGCGCAACAGAAGTGCTGAACTTGAGTCGAACACTTTCCAAACACTTTCTTGAATGTTTCAAACTGACTCACTGCTTGGGATCTGCTATTTCGAACCTGAATTCCTGAAATACTACCCACAATCTATGCACCGGGCTGCTGACAGCCCAAACATCCGCCTGTGTCACCTCTTCGAGCTCCATTTCTTGCACATCAATCTGCTGACATACATTGCACAAGCATGATATGCGGTACGCTCAGCTTTCCAAATCCACAATCTCTCGAAAGCTCTCCAAGAGTCCGAAGTTTGGGAGTCACGGGCTCTGGAGTATGTGCCGTGGATCCAGACCCCCTGCCAGTGCAGAGAGAGCAGGCGTGAACGCCTCGAAACTCCTGTCGACCCACTACTTATTAACGCACGAAGCGCAGTTCCGGCCAGTTCTCCGCTCCTGCGGCAAAAAGGTGTTGAAAGTATTCTTTCATCTTTCTGTGGCATGCGGCCCTTTTTGGGAGAGATGTTCGGAGTCTCGCAGGAGGGCCTGGAGCGAAGCTTGCCAGCTCTGGACGTCGTTCGAGCTTGCAAGCAGCATTCGACTTGGCCTGTGCAGCCCACAACCATCGCACACGATCACCATGTCTAATACGGGTCATATGATCTCCACGGGACAGCCGGGACAGCTTCCAGGCCTTCATGCTGGCAGGCATGGAGCGGTGCGGCACTTCTGGCGGGTTTCGTGGCGGAGCCAGTACGGCAATGTACGGCAGCAAAAGAAATGTTGCATGACTTCTGGCAGAATGCGGAGCCTGGGCCGAAAGGTTCCTGTCTCAGCATGCTGCTGAACCACCTGTCGCAGGAAGGTATACCTGCGAATACCCGAAAAAGCTACCCAGGTCCTTCAGAACGTGCTTCAAGCTCTGACTGGATGTCCACGACACGGTCTTACAGCGTAAGCAGTCTTGCACATTCAGCCGTCAAAGAACGGAGATGTTCTGGTGTTTACTGTCTGTCTATGCTATAAGGACATGTCCCACGGAACGACTTGGACCGTCGCCAGCCACGACAGAGTAGCTGCCCTACAGTAGCTTTCGTTCGTCGCAGATGTTGATGATGAGTAATGGTTAGTCGACACCAAGGATCCAGGTCGGTGCTTTCGTGGCGGACAAACATGTTGGGCTCTGCTGAGGTTGCGAAGCCCGACACCGCTGGGTGTGTCTGGCCCAGTGCAGTCTGCCACGGTCAATGAGTCAACTAGCTGAACGTCGGGCTTCTGAGTAGGCTGGCTTTGATTCTGGTGTCAGTTGCAGGATGTGGAGTGGGAAAGCACAGCATCTCCCTTGGGGTTTCGGGTTCATCATGGATCTCCTGCTCGGCGGCTTGGCGTTCGCACGTTTCCATGCGCGGATTCTAGGGTTTAGGGTTTTCCCACCAACCTTTGAAGTTTCGCCTTCAGAGTTCGACAACCGACGCCAAAATTCCGTGTACGCTGCTGCAACACACAAAACTGCGCATGTCCTGTCAAGCCGAATGCAAGCAGCATTGTCCAAGAAGCTTGAATCCGCACTTTGACGGCATAGCATTGTCCAAGAAGCTTGAATCCGCACTTTGACGGCATCTTGCTTTCGCGCAACCTGACATGTGGCGGTACCGGCGCTATTTCACAAGCAACGAAGTTGATGCGCAACTGTTGGAGCCGAGTCTGTTTTAGTATGATTATCACCGTGACAGGTTCACCACTTCAGCTCGAATCCGAAGATTTGAAGCTGGCAGTTGGAGGTGGTTTCCAGTGTAGCTGAGGAATTAGGAACCGGGCTGAAGAGAGCCAACAGAGCAGGACCTAAGGCACGCTAGCCGAGCAAACTTGGGGGTCACGCGACAAGCGGATTCGGTCTGATTCCCTCTTTCAAGGACATGTGACACATGAGGTGTGGAACAGTATTCAGATCAGAGCGCCTCGAAGCCGGCACATGTAACCGATGAAGTTAGTTGGACTGAGGTCTTCGAGCCGCGGCCGTCGCGATCCTTCGCAGATGAGAGGCCCATGTTCAACACAGCGCGGGTATGCTCGCCAGCCATCATGCTCCTGGAGGACGCGACCCCGGATGCACGGACCCAACTGGCTCTCAGCCCATTTGACTAGCGTCACTTCGAGTCTCGCGGACTTCGTTGTAGGCATCCGCCACATGGCTCTTGCAGCTTCCTTGACCAAGGTTCGTCGGTCTAAGACCCAACAGCCAGTGACAGCCAGTGATCTCTGTGCCGGGCTGACCAGAAGCCAACAATGACTGGACGGATTTCATCTGTGGAGTCATGGCAGAGCAGGAAAGGCGTAGCTTGGTGTTGACATGCGGCATGCGCAAAACTCGCGCTAGCCGATGAGTTGCATCCGACGGACCCTACTGAATAAAGTAGGCCCCGCATGGCCACAAAGCGGGCCAGCAATAATTGTAGCCTCTTCTTGGTCTCGTGGTGCCTGCAAAACGATGACATTCCCTGGGCTGTGTGGAACTAGTGTTTTCGCATGGTTTGCGACTCATTCCAAGTCGTTTCTCGAAGGTTCAATGTTACCACCATTTTTTGCCTCTTCTTCTTTGCCTTGGAGGCCTTGCCGACTTTGCTGCAGCAGAGAAGGGCTGCACAAACGGCTGCATGTTGCAGGTCCTGCTCTCGTCGTTCTGCAAGCAGGAGACGTGCAAGAATCAATCACAAAGTGTTCGCTTTTGGAACTCGCCGCAGTCTTTTGCGATAGGATTACTTCCTCGGCTTCTTCTTCGTCCTCGATTGCGTTTCCACAGCTTCCCTTCTGCTGGATCTCACATGGGTGCGGCAAGCACTGTTTCTTGCAGCAATCCTCAGAAGTAGAATTCTGCAGAGGTTGCCGACTCGTTAGTTTCAGATGACTTCGCAGTGGGCGACCAGGCCCGTGTGAGCCGACAGAGTTGTGTAGCCGCTAGCAATCGCTAGCTGATAGCTGGCCTGCTCTTGGGGTTTCGATCCCGCACTCGCAGGCGCGTGGTGGGAGGACCGCGCGCCTTGGAGCGCCGTGTCCTGAGATCATCTTCGCTCGATATTGTTTTGAACACGATCAGGCACCCGTCGTATTGTACACTTGCTCATTCAAGTCATTCAAGTCTTCCGGCTACTTCGATTCAGATGCCACACGCTGTTTCCCGAAGTGCTTCAAAAGTACTCCAAGGTGAGGCTGCTCGTGTTAATATCTTGTGGGGTTCAACGGCACCTGCATCGCACGAATCGTGCTTGCAAATTGTGCGAGATGCCACGTGTGCTGCGTGGCCTTCGCATTCGCTGTTGCATCGAAATGTCCATGTCATTGAGTCTGGTCCATGGGCAGGCTGGTTTTGCTCTGCAGGTGCGTGCAGGGATTGCCGCTGCAGTCTGCGATCCCAGGTCAGTGGGCCGGGTTGTGCGAGTCATCCGCCTCGTCCGCATCGTGAAGTTGTACAAGGCTGTGCCGCATGCCATGCGGTGGGCATCTTATGGATCCTTCGATGCCGTTTGAGGCGGCCTATGAACGGATTATGGCCGAGGCCGCGAAAAACAGCGCTAGCTCGTCCGAGGCTGAGACAACGGAAGGACATGGCCACCAGCTGCACACAACAGCAGATTCTGTTTGAGTTCCAGTTGCTTGCTGCAATAAGTTACCACTTGAAAGTGTTTTGGTAAAGAGCAAGCCCGAACCTGGCCGTTAGGAAAAGCCTTGAGCCACCCGCATGAGTTCCTGATTGAATGCCTCAGCATGAACCGCCAAGCCAGATGAGTTTACACCGACTCAAACGGCCATCGACGCTCTTCGCTTCGCAGCCATTTCTGCAAAGCTGCAATTCCCCTTTGCGCGATACAGTCGCACTGTGCCAATTCCCAACTGCATAAAAGCACCACTCTGCTTCTCAGTTTTCTTCAGGCCAGGTGAAGAGACAATCGCCTGAGCCCGAGACAGGGTCTTGAAGCGCCCCGCAGCATCAAGAAAGGTAGGGGGACCTGTGCACTCACTCAGACAGCAGGATGACTGGGACAACCCGGACTACGATGACCAGGAGCAGCGGAAGGCGTGTTCATCAGGTCTCGTCTACAATGCCCGTTTCAACATGCTAGTAGGAAATACGTAATAGTCTGATTTAAGTTCAATTGCACCGGGTGGTTCTCGTGGCGCATACTATGTGGCGAAAACTGCCTCAGGGCCAGCGCACGAGCCCAAGTGCAAGATTGCAAAGAGAACGGTGCCAGTGGAAGGAATCCTTTTGTCGATATGCTCAGGCGAGAGTGCTGTTGGCAAGAAGCTAGTTGCACTCACCACCCGGCGAGTGATCATATTGGCCCACGGCTCGGTGACAAACTTGTCAAGCTTGCATGCCGCGGGTTTGAAGCAAGTCGGCTCGAGGTGCTGGTGATGCTCATGTGTATGCCAGTGCCCGGCTTGGCGGCTCGCTCGGCCCCATGGCCCGCATGGCCCGGACTCGAATCTCAGGTCTTCGTTGTAAGCAACTCGCACGGTGACCTGTCACTGTCTCGGCTCCTAACGCAGTACACGATGGCACCGGGTGCGTTCGTGTTCGCTCAGGACGTCGGCTGCATTCGGAGCCAGTAGCGTTTTCGACAGCTACAGGCCAGTCCTGAGGGAGCGTCGGCAATTAGGTTGTGTTTCAACAATCAAGAGCAGAAGCCGCACCGGCACCAAAGCAAGGAGGCGAGGTTTACCAAGTTCTCTCCTGGACGGAGGAGATGGCAGTCAGTACATCATGCAAGACTACGGCCCCAGTAAGCTCCCATTCTCACGGCAATTGCGATTGTTGTGTTGGGGTACCAGTTTATCTGTTGAACGAGTTTGCAACAAACATCAGATGCCTACAAGATGTCAAAACCTGCAGTCGGTGCCAATGATGGAAGGCACATGAAGGAAGGCATCGCGAACCGCTCTTTGTATGAGGAGTCCATTCTCAAGCAGTCGCCTCAGAGACCGAGTAAGACAGGCCGCGAGTTTCGTCGAGTCCAGGGTGGCTCAGTTCTCTGAGCTTGAACGCGCTGATGCCTACACCGCATCTCTGACGAATTGTAAACTTGTCGAAGCAGCCTTCTTCGAGACTCGGTGGCTGCCAGAGTCTGCACAAGCTTTGGGAGGAATGCCGGCAACGTGCTCCCACCGGGATGTTCTACGTCGCTAGGACCGCAGACACGGCGGAGAACCTAACCACAGAATCACAACACCTTCTACATCTTGCCGACCTGGAATTCACATTGCCCGACAGTGACCCAGATGCGACTGCAACGGGTTGTAAATGTGCCTTCCGACACATGTGCAGCGACAGCGTTTGGAGCGGCATGTACAGCTTTCCGCAAATCCAAAGGTCAGGGGCAAGAGCCAGCATGTCAGACACACTCTTGCTCGAGCTCGAGGTATTTCTACTACCATAACTGGTCCGGATGTCAGCATGTCTGTTCTTTGCCAGCGTCTTCAAGCAAGGGTGACCGTCCACTTTCATTGGTGTACGAGGTTTGCAGGCCGTGCGGGCTGTGACGGAGACTCCTTCTGTCCTGCAGTTTTTCTCAGCCATGTTTTTTGGGTCGGGCCCCTGCCAGCATCATCACTGGCTTGTTGCAACGATGTTGTTCTTCGACTTGAGGTCGGGTTTGCTGGCCGCGACAAGACGTACAATGAACTTCGGAACTACACCGCAGAGGTTGGACAGCTCAGCTGACCTTTCCCTGCGTTCCGGAGCGTGCCGCCATCACAGGCCAGGCTGCAGAAAGACGTTGTGGTTGCATGGGATGCAGCCGTGGCAAAACAAGATGTCGACTATGCAGCATCCTCGGCTGCGAGGCGCGGGCGTGTCGCCCGTCAGTCAGGACATGACCACATCGACATCCTTCGAGAAAGCGCGCGCTTTCACGCAGTTTTTGTCGGTGCTTCTTGTGGTTTGGGGGTTTCAATCATCTTCAAAAGCATGCTCTACATGCCGTGCGTGGGTCTGAACTCGCATGCCGCATCGCTTCACAAGAGGTGCTCAACTGCCGGATAGGGGCTGGGTGTCTGCAAATGCATCAGTTGTCATGAACAGGCCGTAATTGCATTAGATTGCGTTCCATGCATATCCTGACTAGGGACGAGAAATGACGAGATTGACGAGAACGATATCATGAATCTGTCAAGCCGGGTCGCCACTTTGAACATGGTTGTGCCGGGCCACGACCAGAAGCTAGCTACTCCGACGATTGTCATCTGACTGGGACAACCGGCTGAGAATCTGCGCAAAACGTATAATATATGTCATCATCAGGCACGGATTGGGTAGCGAATCGGGGCCTAGTGAGTCTAGTTGCCTGTTCTCTGGATTGAAGGATTGCCCCACAAGACATCGCCCCTGAAACCGAAATCCCAAGACCGTGCCTGCTGCGGGTTCCGAGTTTCAGAAGGTGTTCATGGCCGTGTTGGTTTTAACGGAAGCTTCACTGCAGCTTTGGCGCCTCGCACTAAGGTCTATGTCATGGGCAGCTTTCCAGCACAGGCCGATCAAAACAGCAAAGTATTGAAGTGTAAAGGCGATCGGCGGTCGAGGCACAAGATTTGCTCAGCTCTGACTGGGACATCGAGTGTCAGGCTGGTCTCTCCTTTCACAACCCCCCTATTCGTGTATTCACACGGCCGTCGCAAGTGCTTACGCAAGTGCTTGCGCCTGCTGCGCTTGCGAATGTTGCTGCAGTTTGGTGGTTGGAACCACCTCGGCCAGTCCTTGCTCTCTACATTGCTGGAGGACGTGAGGGAAGAGGATAGCCCAGAAAGAGCAGATCTGAGGAGATCTTCCAGATTCCATAAGGTAGCTTTTGCGGGGTGTATGCGACACACGACATTGCGCGACAACAGTTCACGAAGGGGGAGTGGAGGCAATGTTTGCAAAGGTGCTGAAAGTCTGTACGGGGTTCGAGGACGATTTTCGAGTTCAAGTACATGTTACCCCCGGGCGCCCGGCCAGTTCAAAATCATTGATCCGCAAGTGAGGAAAGCGCGAGAACTACCCAAGATACACTGGCCCCGTCACAGGACACAGTTTCCTATGCTGTGAGGCCAGATATGCCAAAATGCCGGGTGAATCTGGATTTTCCGACTGCTGAATGCGCAGGTGCCCTCAGGACCTTCGACCTCAGGAGCGTTTCAGAATCCAGCCTTCTTTGCTCACAGAGCCGCTGGGATGGATTGGATGCTTGCTCGAACGGACCGTTGCTTGTGTTATCGCAAGGCAAGAATTTGATGACTGGCATCTGGCCTTCTTCTTTGATGCACGGTCGCCTGCCGAGAAGCAATGTTCCTATTATGCAGGACTCTGCAATACTCCGCACGACTGTTGCGCATTGATGCAGGCAATCGAGTCTTCAATGTATAGCCTTCCAAAGGATTTCTCTTTTGGGTAGGCATGCCATGAACAGCATCCCAAGACAGAAACATGTGCCACTCTTATTGGCATTGCAACACTGCGTTTCCCATGATTTAGCCATCGAAGAGTCACGCCGGCAAGTCTAGGCAGACATAATTCCGGATCGCTGCCAGACATAAGGCCATATGTGAGAGTCGAGTCACAGAACAACATGATGCTGACAGCCAGCCTCTCAGCTCCGTGGGCATTGCATGCGTGAAGGGTGGTGCAACCTACATCCGTCAAGAGTATCTAAGGGCTTCATCTGCTTGGTGCTCTGCGTGGCGTCCCTTCAGTTTTCCAAGGTGCTGTCGCCATGTTTTGTGCAAGAAATAGATTTGGGACCATTAATTAATTAATGACAATGACCATTAGCGATCAATTCGTGTCTTTTCCTGTTGCGCACGGTGTCTGGCCCAACTCGTGACAATGGCTGGCCCAACTCTGCACGATGTGTCCACCGTGACGGCACTGCTGGTGATGCGGCACATTTTGCACACGCACATCTCATAATCCGGCATGCGCGCGCGCGGGTGTGTGCGTGTGTGTCTGTGTGTGTCTGTGTGTCTGTGTGTCTGTGTGTGTCTGTCTCTGTGTGTGTGTATACATACATACATACACATACATACATACCTACGTACGTATGTACGTACGTACGTGTGTGCGTGCGTGCGTGCGTGCATGCACATATATTGATATGTATGTGTATATATATACATACATACATATAGCTTTTTATTTTATTTTAAGAATTTTTTCTGTTTATACATGTATATTTTATATGTATATATATATATAGATAGGTATAGATGTGTGTGTGTACACATACTTATATAGTAATGTGTCCTAAATATCGGTCTGGTGGGTTAGGAATGATGAGATCAGTTTTCACGATCGGAAGAACAGCCGTGATGTTTGATCTGTGGCCATTTTGGCGATCAGCCGATCGGCGCGGATTTCCGATCGTCGCCGTGGGAACAAGGTTAGATCCTGACCAGGAATGTCGTTCCCTGCTACATGTCCCTACCCCGGCTCGGATGCTCAGTTGCAGATCCCCCAGTTCGGCCCCCAGGAGATTGCCTCCTGCAGACACTGTTGGTCAATGGGGGGCTCTACACTCCAGGGCAAGCTCAGGCCGCCGAGAATCCCACGGCTCCTCCGGCGGCCTCTGGTGACTGGGGAAGTGGATGGGGCCGCGACGATCGTCGTCGGCAGAAAGGAGACCGATATGTCCTGCTGCTCACAACCCGTTCGCAGTGCAGAAGCCTGAGTTCGTGGAGCGGGTGGTGCTCGCCACCCCGTTCCAAAAACTGGGCAGCCATCACTTGGCGGGTGGTCACCGTGGCGCTTGAAGACAAGTACTAAGTGCGGGTTCGAGCCCGTGACCACGGCCGAGGGAGCATTCGCTCTAGCTGAGCGGTCCACTGATGGTTGGGCGGTTTGATAGCAGAAACTGCAGCTGTGCTCTGGCCCGACGATCCTGGGGGTCACTTACGACCTCGACCAGTGCTTGCTCAAGATCAAGAATCTCCACGATCCTGGAGCGCGAAGACGTTCTCCCTGCTGGTATTCTTCGGAAGCTCATGTTCGGGGCCTCCCAGCCCTGGGGCAAGATTGGACGGGCTATCCTTATAGGGCCCTGTCCGATCACAGCTGGTGCAGGGCTCGCCTGGAGGACACTGGTGATGCACAGGCCTCCTCGGCCCATACCCCGTTCGGGGCCGAAGAAGTCGGATGTGGTGATCTTCACAGATCGCTCGACTTCAAGCCCGAAAGATCCGTCTACTGAGCTGATAGGCGAGGCCCCCTCGACAGTTCCCGTCTGGAGTCTCCCCCTGATTATGCAGCATTGCAGCGGTGGTTCCCCAGAAGAAATCTGGTGCTTTCCTCCGGTGATCGGAGCAGATGTTCGAGTTTTGATCTGTGGCCGACTCCCACGTTGCGGTCGCACAAAAATTTGTCACAAAAAAGTCTGTGTGCGATCGTTGGCAGTTCTGTGAGTGTCGAGCGGCGTAGATCGTGTAAAGTGACATATACATATGCATATACATATTCATATACATATACATATATGTCTATGTCTATGTCTATGTCTATGTCTATGTCTATGTCTATGTCTATGTCTATGTCTATGTCTATGTCTATGTCTATGTCTATGTATATATAAACATCGATGTTATTGCAGATTGCTGTCGAAGCCGACATTCTTTGTCAAGGATGATATCGGTAATTCAGCAATAAGCAAAAATGAAGCGGCATACGACAAGGATGCCTGTTGAGCCCTTTCTCCTTCACACTGGTCATGTCGTTGATTGATTCTGGTATGCAGCCGTGTATCACTGGTTACGTAGTCAATAATAGAGCTGCTGGTTCAGATTTTGACATGGTTTACTATGCTAATGACACTATTGAATATTGCGTCTTCCCAAAGCGACAGAGGTCTCCACGAAATTTCATGTCGTACCCAGACCGAGAAGACTTCACAATAGTATGGAGTCCATTTGCACAGCGGCAAATGCGTCGTTATACCTATGAACAATGAGGGCGCCATACATTTTCAAGTTGGCACGCCCTTATCCACGGAATATGAGTCTACGTACCTTGCGTATGAAATTAACAGGGAGGTCAATATTCGTCATGAAATTTCCAACAAGCTACAAAGGGTTCGACGCACTTGGATCAACCTAATCCTCTTTTTAGAACAGCAACCCAAGCCAGCCAGAGATGGAAGTTAATAGTGTGTGATGCCATTGTCCGTAACAAACTACTTAACTGCGGCTATGGCAAAGAAGCTAGATGCGTTTCAGATGAGGAGATCGTAAAAGTACAAACAAAAAGTTTCTGGAAGAAGCAAGTGCGACAGTATTTCCTAGCCGGGACGACCGACGACAGATATTGCGATCTAAAAGGTCACATACTTTGTTGTACCGATTCAGATCAGATCCATTAAGACAGGCATCGTTTTTGTCCAACAGTGCCATTAGGATGGACTATGGCAAGAAGCGAGTTGGGAAGCATATGATGCCACACGAAAAAGGTTGTGTGGGAAGAGGCGCTTGGAATAATACCATGTCAAGAAACCCTTGTACAGGACAACTTCATCTCTAACGCAAGTATGCAAAGACGGTTCTACAGCGTTTGTACGGGGTAAGCCTCCTTTCTCTGCGCCAACACCGTGTTTTGAAGGTGCCGTACAGTCGATTCACAGCATGGGTAATACTTGTATCTACATATACATAATTACACATACACACACACACACAGACGTACTCTTACTCGCATACTTACACATGCACATATTCATATACATATCAGTATGCACATGCTTACATCATATATATATATATACATATATATCTGTATATATATATATAAACACATATATACATGTATACATATATGTCCACGGTGGGGCAAGGCGGGCCGGGAGAAGAAGGACACGGTGAGGGGAGATGTGAGGGAGGGAGGTGGCTTCAGTGCTTAAAATCGTTTTCGATTCACGATTCGCGACACAAACCGCTACCATACTGCACGCGGCAGCGTGAGCATCACGATGGGAGAACTGAGAAGGGTGGCCTCGATCGGGCCATGTGAGGGTGGAAGAGAAGCTGGAAATGTTGCTCAAGCTCGAAGGTCATCACCGTGAAAGGTACTTTATTTACGTACGCGACGTGAAGAACACATGGCTGTGGTGGTTCAGCCTCCCGGCACGTAGCCTCTGAATCGGTTGAATAGATGTTATAGTTTCTCGTGCAGCGTCTTTCGATTCAGCCTTGAGAACCCTGAGAGGAAGCAATGGGAAACTTCTGCGACTGTTGCGGCGTCAGAGCCAAGGGGCCGGAAGGTTTGCCGGAGTATGGCAGCGGAGGCAGTGCCAAGTGTGGGTTCGCCTTAGCCAGAAATGACAGAGCCAGAATGGAAGACGCCGGTGGGCGGCGAGCGGCGGGGGAAGATGGCCTCGTGAGCGGTGGGCCCCTGGGTCGGAGGGGCCTCGTCGAATCCGGTTGAAGCCAGACATGTTCGACAACAGCCACTTTTGCACCGTGCGGTGTGGTGCACCGAGCGGCGAGGTGGGGGAGAAAACCTGGCGGAAGGGTGACCCGTTACGGCGACGGCAGGACAAATGTCGCAACTCACACGCTGCGGTCGGCACTTCGCTACCGTTTGCCGACGTTTGTAAATTTAAAATTTTGTCAAGCCAAAGCCCTGGACGCATGTGGAAGCTGTAGATTGCATTATTTACAATCATGTCAATGCTCAATGCCCACTCAAAAGCCGTCAGCCAGGCTTGCACGCATGAGTGTGAGGGCTGAGGTGGGCTGCGCGGTACCTTCACAGCGCACATAAAATGTAAGCCATATGTAAGCAGCAACGGATAAGGACAAGGTGCTAAAGTTAACAACACACAGTGTTTCGCGAGAAAGTCTTTTGAACATGACTAAATGCCAGCCACGGAGCTACCGACCCCCGAAAACTTGATCATTTCAGAACTGCAAGTGCTGCTTCAAAGCTGCGGTCACAACCAAGCCTACACACCGAACCCCTGATGCGTCCACTTCGCCCAAGATCGTGTTGTGAAGCAAAATATGCAGCAATGTTTCTGGATTGCTAGACCTGCTCGCAAAGAGGGAAAGTCCGCAAAAACTGTAGACGAATGCCGGCAGTGGCAGAGAGCATGTGCAACACTCGCTTCCTGCGGGCCACAGTGCGGGCATGAGTCAATAGTGTCAGCACTTCTTGTCGGACCACGAGCTGAACGGCCATTGGCCTGTTAACCGCACAAGAGCCCAAACCTTTGCCAAAGCCCACTCTCCATAATGCAAGTTCTTGAGGAGCTCGGACCAGCCTGTGCTGCTAGAGCTGTCGCCAAAGTCTTTGTAACACATTGTAGCATAATCCAAGACCGTGCAGCTGTTGTTCTGCAAGCTTACGAAACACAAGCTCGTCACGAGCCACGAGTAGGGGCAACATGGGGCAACAGAACCTGAGAGTTGAATCGTTTCCACAGAGCTGTCTGTACTGCAGGATCCGACCCTGCCGTTGAAAGAGTGGCGTCAGGCGTCAGAGCAGAACTCCATTGCAGTAATGTCTGGGAAGGAACCCGCTTCGCAGACCCGGCTTTTCAGCTCCCGTACGGCATCGTACGGCATGCCAACAAGTTCGCGTCATAAGGGTACTTGCAACGGAAAGCTTTTCCACCGTTGGGTGATCTCTAGGAAGCAGCTTCAGTTGGCTCCGTAACGGAAAACTTTGAGGAGTTCCAAGGACAGTCTCAACTGCCACCAACGAGAGCTACAGCCAAGGG